TGGTCGCATTTATTCTAAAACCAATGCCATTAGAACTCTGTGTGACAGAGGAATGGCGGACGAAATAAACACATGGCCTCAGGAAGACACCCATATGAAAAATCCAATTTTCAAGAATTATGGATAATGACAAGAAAAAAGCGAAACAAATGGTTGTAGCCATATTATCAATGAATCAAACTAACACTATATTCAATGCATTTTTCATCTCGTGAATGCTGTAGCTGCGCAGTTCTAACACGATTAATGTCCTCCTAATTAAAACAAAATAAACTTAATTATTAACTGATTTTGATCTCTAACAGTAGGTAAATAGTGCATTAGCACTTTTAATAACTTTGGGCTAGTTTAGTAGAGTATTAAGCGCATTCTTCGTATTTCTTATTTTACACCAGACTAGATCCAATATGGCTTGGTACCCTTAGAAAGGTCTTGTCACAAGAAATACACATGTGAAATATGCAAGTCATAGCTCCACCAAATCAAAAGTTATGGGCAAGTATAAAGTTTTTGTGACGGACGGACAGCTAGACTGACTGACTGACAGACTGACAGACGAATAAGATTTAATGTCCCCTCGCTTTTGCGAAACAATGAATTGACATGTTAGTGAAAATAATCATTACTGAGAACTAATTTTCGGCAAAATTAACAAACTTTGGAAAAGACAAAAGATTCAATACTTAAAACAAGACGTGTTTATGAAACACTGATGCCCCCTTATGGCAAAATAGCAAAGATTAAAATTTTCTTTAATGCAAATTTAATATATTGGTACCAAACGTTGGGTTTTCTCACTGGAATTACAATTGTGGAACATGAAAGTAGGCCAAGGTTAATTTTTTTCATAAGTACAGAAATCGTCAATGTCAAGATTTGCTTTTTAAAAGAAGGTCAAACTCAAATGTCAAGGTCATAGTTCTTGGTATCCAATGAAGGCTCTTTTCACAAGAATAACATATGTGAGGTATGAAAACCCTATCCCTTACCGTTCAAAAGTTATGGCCAAGGTTCAAGCTTTTTTACAAGTATAAAAATTTCTAAGGTCAAGGTCAAAAGTTCAAAGTTGTTGATATCCAGTGAAAGGACTTGCTACAAAATATATGAAGTATAAATGTCTTGGATACTACTGTTCAAAAGATATGGCCAAAGAAAAAGTTCGGAAGTTTTGTGTTGAGGTGGGTCAAACTCCAAGGTCAAGGTCAAATTTGGTGGTTTCCAAAGAAAGGTCATGTCACAAGAAATACACGTGTGAAATATGAAAACCATAGCTCCACTGAATCAAAAGTTATGGGCAAGGTTAAAGTTTTTGCGAACAAACAGACAAACAAAGAGACAGAGAGACAGACAGAGAGACAGACAGACATAGGGACACGATAAAAACTATATACCTCCGAAATTTCCTTTACAGGGGCATAAAAATCCTTCAGATAATAGTATGGGAATCATCCTTGCTCTATAATTTTCAGATCTATTTAAAATTAATTCTGCTAAAAAATAAACGATTCAAGTTCAATCTTCTGTGTAAAAAAAAATGTGAAAATCAATTTCAATCACAGAAATTAAAAAAAAAACTCATTTATTTTGATTATGGATTAATCAACCACATTATTGTGTTTTAATATTATGTTACTACATGTAGTGCATGTAGATGTAAAATTCCTTTTACATCCTTTTATATCTCTCCATAGATTTGATGCACACTGACATGCTATATGTAATGAAATTTATGGAGATAAAGAACAGAATTCAAGCTCAAAAGTCCAATACAAGCAATAGAAATTGTAATGCAGAGCAAACAAAGACCTTCAAATAAAACATAATTAAATGACAATAGCTGCAATAAAATAACATTTAACTATCAATTATGAATATTTGAAGACATGGACAGTGTTATTTCGATCTTATCAATTGTAAAACAACAATGTTTATGCCACATGACTATTTTCTTCGTAAGAAAGATGACAGGCGCCCAATTTACAACACATGTGATAATGCTGAAATAAGTAAGTAAATTACAGTCGTAATTTGGTAGATAATGATGAAAAACTGACATATAACATCTCAGTATAACTATCCCTTACTCTCTGTTCAACAATATCTCACTAGATCGTCTAGTAACACAAAAACAGCATATGTTTACATAACATTGTCAAATTGCAATGTGTATTACATCAAAAATTCAGGTAAACAATAAGATAATGAAATAACATGAACAATAAAACATTTATAATAAATTTACAACTGGATGCTACTTTAATTTACTAAAAACACTCCACCATCAGCCTATCAGTGTAATTAATATGCAATATTCTAAAGTCCAACACCCATGCATATTACAATATATTCCTATGAATTCGAATATCAAGTATTTGATGTTTAATCAAATGATTCATTTCATTTGTATAACAATACGATATATTCTAGTGAACTTGAAATAAAATAAATCACTGTGTCTGCATCATCTGTTTTATACATTTTAATTTTTTACTGACTTTACACAACAAATATATGTCTCCTAACTTATATGATCACATCATTTTAAATCGAGAATTACTACTCGGTAAAAAATTCGTTTAACATGGATTTCAAAAACTTTCTTTAATGCCGATTTTTCGTAAATTATAAGGTCGTTATGATTACCTTCTTAGCATATACATGTATCATTCCCTATCGTTTGGTCGTATTCTTTTATACCAATTGTAAAATATTTGTTTTTATACTGAAGTGACGATGAATATTGTCTCAACAATAGAGCAATATGTACACCAAGATTCTAAGGGATGTTAAATGTGTGATGATCGGAGACCACTCTTGTTTGAATTTGGAACTCTCTAGTAGAGAGAAGATCAGTTTTAGTGGTTAGCCAATGAGAATTAAGAATGATAATTAAGTAAGGTATAAAAGCGCTGTCTTCTTAGTGCAGTGACATTCTGTCGACGCTTGCAGTTAGTCAGTAGAAGAGTCAGTAGCTGCTGAAGTAGACTAAGGATAAGGTGAGACAGGGATTAGACGTGACTGAACAAGTCTTTCCTTCCCTATCTTACGTTAAGTTAAGCTTTAGATGAATAAAGTACAACTTAGTTAGAAATTAGTAAGCCAGCAGTTGAGACATAATCGAGATAAGTAAATAGGGTTAAATAGAGAATTTAATTATTACCCCGCCCCAAAGATTTTTTGTATATATTTTCTCTTTGTTAGGTTCTCAGAAGTTAGTTATTTGAGCTTTTCCACGAATCACTTTTTGAGCAAGCAGCTCTGTCTAAATTGAGAGTTAATATTTTTTATATATATATTTTTGATTATTTTGTATTAATTTTGTAACATCCGCTCGGTTACACGTCACAAATGTATTATAGAATTATACTGAGACCTTTTTAACCTTTCAGAAATTCATAACCATGGGGCCAATGTCACATTTACGGTGTTGTTTTGATTATTTGTCTTGTTTGTATTTCAAATTTACTGCGATTCTTGTTTTTAACTTTGTTCCATAGTTTCTTTCAGTTTTCCCATTCTGCACCTCTTTTTCGAACACCCTCTTTGGTACCTCTACACTTCCTGTATTTATTCACCTGAGTTTAGGCTTTCGCCTTTCTTAAAACCGGCTTTTCAAGATGTAGCAGCACGAGCTGTCTGTCCAAATTTACTATCAAAGTTTTGTAAAGTACAAAGTATTTTATAGCGTAAATACAGACACTGACTTCTGAAGTGAGTAACATGTTTTATTTACATTTTCTTCTCTGTTTTGTTAATTAAACAGTCCTGGGATAACTTTGTTATTTCAACGTATTTTAATTTAAATTTATTCGTTTGAATGTTCGTTCGTTTGTATAGTTTGTATGTTCTATAAATATCATAGTGAGCAGTGTTAATTGAAAGTATCGGCTCTAGTATTCTAGTATTTAGTTTCATTATGATTCTAAACAGTAAAGTAACCATGTAAGTAAAGTCACTGTGTGTAAGTGTAAGTTACATGTAAAATAATGTAATTATTGTGTAAAAGCATTTAATACAAGTTCTGTAATGCAGCGCTGTGATGTTGACCCCATTATTATCCCATTTTTGTGTATGGTGGGTTATGTGGGTAATAACTTGTACGTAGCTTTGTGTTTTTAACTGTGTAACTTAATGTGTTTACAATTTTGTGTTATGTAGGTTTCGTTATACGTCCTCCGTTCCGGGTTACACGTCCTACGTTACGTCCTGTGTTCGGTGTTGTATGGTGTGTGGTGTAATGGTTATGGTTACTGTGGAGCCGGAATATATATATTATGTACAGTTGATATAATCTAGATAACTGTGAAAACGTTTTTTGACTTTTGTTATTTTACTGTAATAAGGAAGAACCCGCAACAGCCAAATCTGTCGTAACTTTAACTTTTCTTGAGCTTTTTTGGTCGTTACGGTAGCGCTGTTGCTACGGCTCTTCCCCGTTCGAACCAGCTGCGAACGCTACAATATCGATAGCGACTGATCCTTCGCCACGCGGTCAGCAAGAGCTTGAAGTAAAGGTTGAAGGTCCTTCGGAGAAGAAAGTTCCGCGAAGGTCCATTAAAATAGTTTAGCATAAATACATTCGGATTAATTATAGGTTAAACCAATATGAGCTGCATTTTTGAGAATTTTATTTTTCTGGTAAAATGTTTGATTATAATTAATCTGTATAAAATTTAAACCTTTTTGATCAAGAAGACCAAGATAAAGTTTTAAACTATTTCAGAAGAAATATTTCTGTACAATCTAATATAGTATATACTATATAAGAAATCATTATTGTACAGGACGACAATAATGCAATTTTGCTTCAATCGAAGCTTATGAAAAGTTCTTCCATCGCATAAATTAACAATAGAAGTTTATAAATGGTCTTTTTTAATAGTAAATTACAAATTTGCAACAAAATTTTCCGATGTCAAACATGCAGCTTATATTGCTTTAAGTAATAAAAATGTGTTCTCCCATTATGTTTGGTAGAATACAGACGTTGAGAAAGAAAAAAAGTTGTCTTAAGGTTTATTCTAACAACATTTTGTAAATTTATTTGGTTTGTACAAATATATATTTCTTTCTCATAGCTTCATCAACTCCAGATTCCATTCCACTAAGTGTATCATCAAGTTTTACTTATATTACTGAAAGGAATAAAACAATTTAAAAAGAATTATCAATTATAATTAAATATTTTGAATAAGAAAAATAATATTTCTACCTTGTTATATACCAATATTAAGTAAAACAGTCTGTTTTGAAGTATTAAACAAATACCCAAAATCTCTTGCAAATTTACTTACTGTAGCATATACCCGATAAACACAGTTGTTAAGGTGGACACTCGTTGTTCTGCCACAAAGATAATAATTGAATAAATAAGCAATAATAATTTAATCGTAAATATTGCAGTATATATATAATTAAAAAAACTCGCCTTACATTTTGACATCCAGGTCCAAAGGAAAAGAATGAAGGATCCAAAGATACTCGGGGTGCTAGCAATTATGTTAAAGAGTTTAAAGATGATATTATTATTATTAAATGAAAACATTTTTTAACTGAATTAAAAATAATGCAAAATGTACATGTAATTTCGATGATCTCCGATTAGTCAAAGGGACTTTCCCCTTGGCGCATCTCGTGTAAGTCCACCTCAAAGTTAGCTTCCGAAGGTTTGCCCTAGATTTCACTCTTGGCCAATATCGGTATAGCTTTTCATATATTTTATATAGTTTTTTATTTATATCTATATGACGGTTTGGTGATTTCACAAAGTTCAAATTTGAAAGGTTTTTTCCACATATCGGGATAAAAATTATGAATTATGCCACAGTAAGCAATTAGCTTCTTTTCAAGCAGTATAAAATATTACGTTCTGGATTCCTAGTATTGTGAGCATTGATATCATCATTTTTTATCCCAAAGACATTTCAGTTTTGGTTTTAATCAAAATAGAATTTGAGTTGTTTCAGAATTGAAAAATTGATTTAACATAAGCAAAAAATTATATATGCCTTTCAAGAACGATTTCAACTCTTAAAAGTAAATCTAAGAACTTTAAAAAAAATCTTACTTCTATGCATTCTTCGGAATTGGAACATTCAGAATCCTGATTGAAAATGGAATAATATCACATACATAATAAACACTTATCTAAACCATAGTAGTATTTTTCTCTATTGTTGCTAGATATCTGATAAAACAGTTTTTCTAAATAATATATTTTTATTCCATTGACATAAAAGTTTAGTCCATATTTAAGGACAGATGATACAAACAAAAATGGATGCCTGGATTGGTATATATTTTTTGGCCTAATTTCATTGCAAATGACGAAATAATAAATTTCTAGAATATTAAGAAATTGTAAATCCTCTGTGATGTTCAAAAGTCAGCCCTTCTGAAATTTTCTTATTAATCTATAATATTTTTCACTTCAAATCCCATTTTTTGTAAAAAATTAAATATATTTTTTTTTTTTAAATTCGCTGTCAAACTTTTTCATTTTACTCATGTTAACATGACTCAATTTTTATTATCAATTTTTTTGACAAAAGTTTGTTTGTATCATCTGTCCTAAAGAAAGGATAGGCAATATGATGATGAACATACCCAACTGATAACAAAACGTGATTGAAATATATACCTTTCGCCTCAAACTAATGAGAGATAAGTTATTTACCATCGCTACTTTTCTTGACCTTTTTGCACTCACTCAGGATTTAATTATTAAACGACTGTTTCGGTTTGCTTTCAGAAATTACAATGTGAATATTTATCAAAAATTAATTTTTTCTAATTTAAAGGGTCATATTTAATAGAAAAAATGTAATCAAGCACCACCCATTAAAAATATACATGAATAGTTAACGAATACTAGTAATTATGAAAAGGAATGCACATCATTTCATAATAGACATAAAAAAATTTACACAGAATCTTCAATATATCTTTAACTCAGACACATCAAGATATGATACTCTTTAGTTGGCAACTAAAAATTTTTTTTTTATGATTTTTGCATTCCCACAAAGTAGTTGCATACCATCCACAAGTTATCACAATAAGTTGTGTAATTTCATTTCATGAGATACTAGAGAGCAGTGTTGGATTTCTCCACTTCAAGTTAAGATCTAGTAAATGAAAGTGCATACAAGATTCTCTAATTTTAAAAATGTATATAGTCATTAAGCCTTTTCACCAAAAATATCTAAATTGAATATGATACATATTAAGCGTATTTTGGTATGAATTTTAATTGAATATGAATTTCAAAATGCTTTGTTTTCTACAATTTCTATTGAAGCTGTAAAGTACTGGAAAAATAATATTAAATTAATAATGACATCTTAATAGATCTAAACACATTCGCTACATATGATATCATACGACGTAGGTTCTACGTAGATGTTAAAGTATGAATAAGTCATAAATGTAAATAAAAGTAATAAGGTATTATTTTAAAACACCTATCGAGCTATAAATACGGGTTGGTACGAGATCAAATTCATCATAAAGCCCTTTTGGCTTTATGGAATTTAATCTCGTGACCAACCCGTATTTATATCCCTATAGGTGTTTTAAAATGAAAACTTATTTCTTAAATAAAGCTGCTGTTTCTAACATTGGAAACGTTCTTCTGTGAAGCAACAATAGTGCTTACGTCAAAATAGTCTTTATAAACTGGATGTTTCTAAAAACAGAGACTGCTGCTATTATTCATTACTGTGACGTCATAATGCAAATGACATAACAATGCCTTATATGAGTAGGTACTGAGAATTAGAAGGATTTCCTCTTAACTGATAAAAAATATATAAAAACAATTGTAGCCTTTTGATTCGACACAGTCACTAGATATATGGACCTCAGAATAAGTATATCGACATCGCACAATATGCTTTCTCGAAGGTCTATATCTCTAGAAATTGACCTCATCAAAAGGCTATAATCGTATAATAAATTAATTTCTCTGGTTGTTCATATGGGAATTATAAAGGTTTCACATTTTTTACTTCTATTAGAGAAGCTTTAAATGCATGTATTGACATACGAAGAAAAACATGTCATTAGATCTCTAACATTGGTTGTTTTATTGTATTTTGTTTAACGTCCCTCTCGGGAATTTTTCACTCATATGCAGAAACCACAACTTGCCGGTTGAGAACGGCAAATTCTGTTCTATACTTGGCACTCAGGGCCATTGAGCAGGGAGGGATCTTTTTCTTGCCAGCGCATACTGCGACACGGGACCTCGGTTTATACGGTCTCATCCGAAGGTTCAGTTTCCAAGTCTCGCTTTGGAATTTGAACCCGCTACGTATATATCCACTCCTAACTTCACAATTGTTGAGCAGACGCTCTTTCCACTGCGCCACGCGGGCGACCCCTAACGTTGAAACTATTAGTTTACTCCTAGTCTGCATGTCGGTCTATCATGCTCCGCACTTTTTCTGTAAACTCTTACAGATATTGAGCTATATTACGGTATTCAAATATACATGAACCTTGATGAGGTAAAGCTGAACACGGTTCGTAATAGGGATTTGTCCGCAGTATCCTATCGTTCAATCGGTATATCTTAGGTCCTTATGTAAGTCGTTCATTTAATTATGGACTGTTCGGCGTAATAAGCTATTATTGTGTAGATAGATATTTGCTATAAAGCACTTAAAGGGACAAATAATAACTGCATATTTTCACCACAAGCACGACAAGAGAGAAAGATACAAAAATCGTACAACAGCTAAACAGGTCAGTGCAGTACCATCATATATACATGTAACTGCAAAACATGTTAACACGATTACAAGCATGAACACGTTTCGCCATTCAATGCCATAGCCCATGACAATAAAGCAGTCAGGCGTAACAAATGCGAAGCGCACGTCTAAATGCTAAAATGGTGTCGAGATGTGTTTAGCTTTGAAGATCAAATTTAAATACCCTTCAATGATTTTTTCTGATAATAGTATAAAATTTTTTATTTTAAAGGAAATCAGAATTCTCTGGCTCCTTGTTTCCGCCCCATTTTTTCTAAAACGCTAGCAAATAGCAAGCTTTTTTGCTGTATGAGTCCACTTTGAAGAGTTAAGGATCAACGCAGCACTGTTAAGGCTTACTTTGAGAAATCAACGGAAAATAAAGCGCAAAAACGGGATTTTTAAAAAAAAACTGAATTTATTTTTATTCAGCTGTTTTATTATCACAGAAATTAAATACTTATGGAAAAAGCATATTAAAACTTACTTTGTACTGTGTGACAATGGACAATGGACAATCACATGATGAATGCATAGTACGTGTACTGAATGTAGGTCATTAGCAAATTTCAATATCGCAAGGACATACCCTATTTAAAATTAAAAACTCAAGCTATTAATTGTTTCTGCATACTTTGTACTTACTGGAAAGTGCTGTTGCTTTAAACAGAATTCGTGTTTTATTAGATAAAATTTCAAGTAAATGGGCCCATGTCGAAACCTGTTTGAGTTTTACCAAATATTTTGTGTACTTGTAATGCCACGCTGTCGATTTAAAGAAAGCAGCAGCACTTTTCAAGTTAAGAACATATCCTTTATTTAAATTCAAAAAATGGTCAAGATTTATTTAGCGTATGCCCTTATCCCTTATGCCCTTGCGAAAGAACGATTAAATGAGGCACCTCGATGTAAAATATGAATGACAAGTTCATCGAGATCAGTGATTTGTTTATAACAAGCTGTATGGGATTTAACTAGCGACTCTTTTTAATGCATTGATAAGTTTTATTATTGTTTATTATGCTAATACAGTTTAAAGTTGCAAATTATTTCATTTTTGGGTAATATGAGGAATGCTTAAAAGAGCATATTTTTGTGTGACGTCACCGTAAACTTTTCCCGTATAAATTAGGCCCGCCTCCTTTTTCTAGCCTTAACAGTGCTGCGAAGTTTTTATTCTGTTTTGCTTCATTATTTTTTTTTACCGAATTGTGTCCTATTCAATTTGAAAAGGAATCAAATTTTGAAGTTTTGAAATTAAAAGATAATACCAAAACCACCCTCTTATAAACCAATTGTTGGTTTGGGTAAAATTCTGTAACTTCAACTGTTCCAGAAGTTTCTTCGGAATTTTAAAGTATTCATATCTGATTTACACCAATTCTCTAATATATTTTTGAACAGTGCTCTTGAAGTTTTTCCTTCACTACTCTTAATATTTTAATGAGGAGCATAGAAAGAAGCTTGATTGAATATTTACTGTAACCCACTATGTATCCTTGTTTCTAATGGTATCTATGAAGTTTTGGAATAAGTGATGGTAATTCAAATTCTTGTATTTTTTATTATTAATAATTGTCGCCCGAGTGG